GGGTGGGAAGTGGTGGGAGGAAGGAAGGGAAGGTGGAAGGGTGGTAGTGAAGGAAGGAAGGTGGGAAGGGGTGGGTAGTGAAGGAAGTTAGGGGTGGGAAGGGTGGTAGGGAAGGAAGGAAGGTGGGGAAGGGTAGTAGTGAAGGGAAGGAAGGGGAGGTAGTGGAAGGAAGGAAGGGGTGGAAAAGGTGGTAGGAAGGGAAGGAAGGGGGTGGGAAGGGTAGTAGTGGAAGGAAGGAAGGGGTGGAAAGGTGGAGAGGAAGGAAGGAAGGGTGGAAAGGTGGAAGGGGAAGGGAAGGGTGGAAGTGGTGGAAAGGAAGGAAGGAAGGGGAGGTAGGAAGGAAGGAAGGGTGGGGAAAGGTGGTAGTGAAGGAAGGAAGGGGTGGGAAGGGTAGGAAGGAAGGGTGGGCAGGAAGGAAGGAAGGGTGGAAAGGTAGTGAAGGAAGGAAGGGGTGGGAAGGGTAGAGTGAAGGAAGGTGGAAGGTGGTAGAGGAAGGAAGGAAGGGGAAGGGTAGGAAGGAAGGGGTGGAAAGGGTGGTAGTGAAGGAAGGAAGGGGTGGGAAGGGTGGTAGTGAAGGAAGGAAGGAACGAAGGATATATTAAAAAACAAACTAAGAATCTATATTATTTTAAGAACCACATAATGAAAGTATTCCATTAAAAGATATAAAAAAAAAAGTTGTTATTTTACGTTGAAAGCGACACACTTTGGGGGACCTGTGGCCACCATCGCTCACTGTGCCGAGGGACGCCCACACACTGGTGACTCCTGAGGGGAGTCACATAATGCTCATGCTCCACCGATGAACTGACACTGTTGATGTACTCGTATACCAGGTTAACACACACACACACACACACACACACACACACACACACACACACACACACACACACACACTACGGGAATACAACGTACAATCTGTAAAGCTTTTGGGGCACACCTGAGCGAACAGTACTTTTAGCGGGAGTACTAAGACGAATGTGTGTATGTGGGGGGTGTCATCTGTCCTCCACCAACTCACCCAGGACGTCCATCACCCACTTCATCCACTTTGCCTCTCCGTCACCCACCCACCCACCCCCATCACTGCTCAGGATTCCAAGTTAACTCAACACGCCCATCACAACACTCCGCCTACTTGCTGCTGTTCCTGCGTGGCAACCTCCGCCCCTCAGCTGCCTGCCTCACCTCACCTGTCTGTCTGTCTGTCTGTCTGCCTCACACCTCAATAGCATACAGTACACAGCGTGAGTGAGGAGGCCCCAGGCACGTTCACCAGGGGCCCTAAGTGACCAAATTTACAATAATGCCAAGCTTCCAATTATCCCGTGGCCGTGTGTGGCGTCTGTGTGTTTGCCTCTCTCTTACCAGCCACGCCCACCTGTCTCCAGCCACGCCCACCTATCTCCAGCCACGCCCAACTTTCATCATTCGCTACCCTCCCGCCGCTGCCCACGCACATAACCTCGCCAATCAGTAAAAAGGTCGAGCAAGACGGATAATGGGCGAGTGAGTTGTGGTGACAGCCATCCATTTACCCTAGACAAACAGGCGAGCGTCTCTCTTCCTCCCCCTCCCCCCTTGACAACAACTGCTGACCTACTATTTATACCAGTGGTTAAGTGAGATGGTGGTGGTTGACACACACACACACACACACACACCGTCCTCCTTGACCTGACACACTTCCACCGTGACCACTTTAACACTTATGTCTGACCTGGTGGTGAGGTCGTATATGATGATGTCACAGAGTTGACCTTGAACCTTGAGTGACCGCGAGAGAGTCCAGGTTGTCCACTCTGCTAAATGTTTGATTACTGGTCACTCAGTTCAGACAACTAACCATAGATTATTCCTCACCTGTCTTCAAACTCACCTGTCATCAACCCTCACCTGTCTTCAAACTCACCTGTCATCAACCCTCACCTGTCTTCAAACTCACCTGTCATCAACCCTCACCTTCACACCTCGATCTTACCTGTAGTTCGTGTTTACTGTGTTTTGGGATCATATGAAGATTAGACACCCCCAGCTTATTTCACCTGAAGATTAGACACCCCTAACCTAACCTAACCTAACCTACCATAATCTACCCTAACCTAAACCTCAGGAAGCGTTTGGGGGTTTAATCTTCAGGTGAAATACGCTAAGGTGTCTAATTATCAAGTGAAATAAGATACGGCGTCTAATTATCAAGTGAAATAAGATACGGCGTCTAATTATCAGGTGAAATAAGCTAAGGTGTCTAATTATCAAGTGCAATAAGCTAAGGTGTCTAATTATCAGCCACCATAACCCCGTGGGGACAGACCCTCACCCCACCACACCCCGCCTCACCCCACCACACCCCGCCTCACCCCACCCCCACTACCGCTCCTCCAGGTAATCTCTTCAGGAAATGGTTTAGGTCGCAGTGAACGAGACGTAAACATGCGGCGATAGAACACGTAGAAGGGAGCGACTACCTGTCTCCCCCAGCCTCTATTACCACCTTTTGTAGACACCTGTGGGGGTAGTGGGTGTGGGGGTAGTGGGTGTGGGACGGAGGAGAGGGTGTGGGAGGGAGGAGAGGGTGTGGGTGACAGTAGCAGATGTGACAGGCAGTACTGGACACACCTGCCAAGCCCCCACATCTCATAACACACCTGCCAAGCCCCCCACATCTCATAACACACCTGCCAAGCCCCCACATCTCATAACACACCTGTCAAGCCCTCACATCTCATAACACACCTGCCAAGCCCCACACCTTAAACATACCCAAATGTCTTACATATCTCCATTACCCCTGACATTATAACAAACTAATTACTTGTTATTAATCCAAGGTCAAGATAGTTAATAATAATTAGTAATGTACACAACCTTTGACCTATCTATTGACCTCTGTTAGTATATACAACACACATTCCTGTCATAGGTCAGAATAATGTACTGATGTTGATATGAGTCAAGAAGCATTCAAGAACGAGGTGGATATGTCTGAAATGGCTGGCTGGTATACAATGATTTTTAATACTCTCCTTCTTCCTCTGTCTCACGGCTGGCTGAATGAATAACAAAAGCAACTAGTAATCAAGAACTAACTACCCCCCCTCCTCCCCCCCTCGCCATATATCACAGAGGAAAAATAATCACCTTTTTTCGATATTTCTCGGGAGGTTTTGAGTAATGATGGAAACTTTGAAATCAGTCCACTGAACCATTTTCAATTTTTTATTTTTGCTACCTGGAACCAGTTAACACAACCTACGACCACAAATACAGCTAAGAAACGACCCCTATACGACCACAAGAACCACGTACACGACAATCCCGATTCACTCCACCCAACACGACCAGTCATTTGTCTACCCTAACCACCACACGAGTCTTCCTGGTACTGACTCGCTGCAAAACAAAACAGTGTTAACGGAATAAAGTGAAATAAATCTTTAAAACACAATAGTCAAAGTTTAATACGTTCGCCCCTATACTCTCTCTCTCTCTCTCTCTCTCTCTCTCTCTCTCTCTCTCTCTCTCTCTCTCCTGTGTACCGGGACATGACGCTGTACTGACAAATGGAGAAAGACGACAAGAAAAACAGGTAGAGGAAAATAGAAAAAATAAATAAAAAAAAAAATCATATAACAATGTAAATATTTTTAACAGGTCCATTTTTATACTTCCTCCCGCTGATTCTCGTTCCCACTCTTCCTCCCGCAGATCCTCGCCTCTCCCTTTCCTCCCACAGGCCCTCCACTTCCTCCCCCAAATACCTTACACGTGTTGTCAGCGTAAGTCAGCCCAGAAGATTACAGGTAAGCCTGGCGAGCTCCAACCTCGAGCTTCCCCAAGCACACACACAGCCACCACTGACCTTGAACTAACACGCACACACACACACACACACACACGCACACACACACACACACGTACTGATCGCTAGAAGAACAGGCAAATCCCAACCTTGGTCAAATCTATCCACACCTCGTAGTTAACCTGTGTGTTCCCTCCCTACCAACCAGTGCTTCCTCTATAACAACCTCACTCTTGTACTGTAACTGTGCAACGTAACTACAAACTACTACAACGTAACTACTGAAACTGGTAACTACTGAAACTACTATTTATCACACATAGACAAGGCCGAATTACAACAACTCTACGGGCATAACACATTATACAACAAAACTCTATTAAAACTGAGTCGTAATATTAAGTTAGATGTATGTATGTATGTATGTATGTATGTATGTATGTATGTATGTATGTATGTATGTATGTTATGTATTATTATTGTACACCAGGGAAATAATGAGGGGATAGGAACAAGGGACCAAAATAAATAATAAATAAATAAATGAATGAATAAATAACAAATAAATAAATAAAATAAATAAGGAAGAAGAGTGTCTTTACCCCTTCTCCATTTTCTTAACATTACGTCATAAACAATTACGTCATCAACACCATTACGTCATAAACAATTACGTCATCAACACCATTACGTCATCAATACCATTACGTCATCAACACGTCATAAAAGCTCGTCCCCAAAAGGTTCACTAATGAGTAATTATCATGACGTCATCCTTAGTGTGAGAATATTTCTTCATATTTTGTGTCATTACTTAGTGAGGTGTTTGATTAATGGCCTGGATACTGATCATCCTTAAGTGAGGGAGTGGGGAGGGGTGGGGGTGGTGGGAGGGGTGGGGAGCGGGAGGTAGGAGTGAGGCAAGAGAAATTCTTGTGTTAGTGTGTGTGTGTTTGTGTGTGTGAAGGAGTGCCACACACACACACACTTCCGTTTTATTTTACAAGGTGAGGATGATGAGCTAATGTTATGTTAGAGGCGCCATCCATGCTGAGTGGGAGTACTGTACCTACAAAGCTCTACAAAGAGATTGTCTGGGACCACCTACCTACAGTGAGGGAGGGACCACCTACAGGTAGCTACAGTGAGGGAGGGACCACCTACAGGTAGCTACAGTGAGGGAGGGACCACTAACCTCGTCGTAGAAGCCGTAGACATAGTCGTCGGGGAAGCAGAGTTCCTCCTCGAAACTGGTGTCCTCGTCCCCGGCGTCGTTGCCGTCGTCTTCACTCCTCATCGCCTTGATGTCTTCCTCGTCGTCGTCCTCAGCTTCGATATCGGCGGCAGAGAACCTCGGGGACGGCGGCATGATCACCTCCAGCAGCTTGGGGGACCTGGACCCGGCCTCAGAGTGCCGGCCCAGGACGTCCTCCAGTGACCTGCTCCTGGCGGTGGCGTCCCCACGGCCCCCCAGAGTGCCGTAGCTGTACAGGGAGGCGGCCTCCACACTCTCATATTCCTGCTGGTCCCGGGACCCCAGCGTGGCCACGTGAGGCAGCGACGGCAGTTGCATGGGTCGAACGCTGGTCATCAGATGCCCATTGAGGAACATGTCGTCGACGCCGGTGGCGAAGCTGGGTAGACCTCCGGTCCGTGGAGAGGGTACTCCCCCCAGGGAGAAGTACTGACCCTCCTCAATCACCCTGGGGGAAGGCGAACTGCTGTGTGCGGTCGGGTAGGGCTCGGCCCTGGCATAGGACGGGAGGTTGGCTAGGGGCGGGTCGCCCTCAGGGCCGCCCCGAGCCAGGCTGTCCGTTTTGCCGCGGGAGGAGAGACCTTTACAGTTCATCCTGGTGAGGGACGAGATGAACTGGGAGAGGGGAGGCCGCTCCTGCATGGGCTGGGGGGACGCGGCACGTAACGGCACACCCACACTACACTGACTCCATCATAAGTTCATTTTGTCACACCACTTGTTTACGTAAACAAAAGCAGACCCTCCATCATGCTCTGATCCAAGTGTGGCATCGCTCATTACCAACAAGAAGCTTTAAGCTGTAGGAACAAGATTTATTGTAGTTGTACTTACGCCAAGGACTGGAAAGCATTGTATTCAGTAAGAAACTTAAGATACAGGATACTGTCAATAACACAGAACCTACAATGGTTTCCTTCCAACCCGTAACACCAACCTCCAGCAAGACGCAGTATCGGTGAAAGTATAGTTTAGCTCCGCCAGTAATTCCTTCGAATTTTCTTACGAGACTTCCGTCAAGACAAACCGAAAGGAGGAACAAGAACCCCCCCCCCTCCCCCCACACAAGGCTAACCTAATTAAACGCAATGATAACCACCACAGAATCGTTAAGCTATAAGTTAGCTTAGGTCTGACTGGTTCTTGGGGTCATTTCATAAATGATTCTCAAGCTAGTCTTCACTTCAGATTCACCCCCACCCCCCAATAAATATCCATACACTAAAACATATATTGTAAACCTCTTGCAAATACCTGTCCAAAAATACCACGAATCAATTTGACAAAGTTATTATTTATTATCTGCTATAGTTTGACCTTGACCTTTGACACTAATAACCTCCTATTTTGTTCCATCTGAATTATTAACTGAACCTCAAACTTAGAACAACACACAACTGAGGTCTACTTGTTTATATTAGTTACCAATGATTTGATGTTTTGTTTAGCACCTCTGATTGACGCGTTTGGTGATCATGGTGCCCTCGCTACAAAGAAACACCCACACACGTATACCCATACCCTCCTACACCCACACTCCTGTACCCACACACCCGACCATTAGTGATTCCAGAGTCGTCAACACCCGACTCACACAATTTCTGACCCGTAATCCCTCTTCCTTACCCGTTTCCCAAGAAGAGTGGTAGTGGTGGTGCGGGGCGAGAAGGGGTTCGTGGTGGTGCGGGGAGAGAAGGGGCGAGAAGGGGGTCGTGGTGATGCAAGGAGAAGGGGTCGGTGGTGCGGGGAGAAGGGGGGAAGGGAGAGAAGGGGCCGTGGTGGTGCGGGAGAGAAGGGGTCGTGGTGGTGCGGGGAGAGAAGGGGCCGGTGGTGCGGGGAGAGAAGGGCCGGGTGGTGCGGGGAGAGAAGGGGTCGGGGTCGGTGGGAGAAGGGGAGAGAAGGGGCCGTGGTGGTGCGGGGAGAGAAGGGGTGGTGCGGGGAGAGAAGGGGGCCGTGGTGTGCGTGGGGAGAGAAGGGGCCGGGTGGTGTGGGAGAGAAGGGCCGTGGTGGTGCGGGAGAGAAGGGGCCGTGGTGGTGCGGGGAGAGAAGGGGGTCGTGGTGGTGCGGGGAGAGAAGGGGGGTCGTGCAGTGGGGAGAGAAGGGGCCGTGGTGTGGGAGAGAAGGGGTCGTGACAGGCAGAGCGGGCCTTGAAGAAAGGTGACGGGGCGGGGGTAGGTCGGAGCGGAGTGGTGGAGGTGACGGGGGGACCTAGCCACACCATTTGCCCCAAATATTTGTTTTTCCAGCCTGCTGTACCTCAATACTGGTGAGGGGCAGCTACTGGGAGGTGCTAGTGAGGGGGCAGCTACTGGGACTGCAGGAGGTGCTAGTGAGGGGGGCAGCTACTGGGAGGTGCTGGTGAGGAGGCAGCTACTGGGAGGTGCTAGTGAGGAGACAGCTACTGGGAGGTGCTGGTGAGGGGAGGCAGCTACTGGGAGGTGCTAGTGGGAGGGGGGCAGCTACTGGGAGGTGCTAGTGAAGGAGGCAGCTACTGGGAGGTGCTAGTGAAGGGGACAGCTACTGGGAGGTGCTAGTGAAGGCAGCTACTGGGAGGTGCTAGTGAGGAGGCAGCTACTGGGAGGTGCTAGTGAGGGAGGCAGCTACTGGAGGTGCAGGAGGAGGCAGCTACTGGGAGGTGCTAGTGAGGGGGCAGCTACTGGGAAGCAGTGAGGGAGGCAGCTACTGGGTGCTGGCGAGAGGTGCAGTATAATGGTGGAGTAAACACTAGCCATGGTTTGTTGTGCCGGATGGACCTGCACAGGTGAGGGGTGGATGGAGGAAGAGGAGTGAGGAGAGACAGTGGTGGTGGAGAGGCTTAGCACGAGGTATGGAGTGGGGTGGGGTGGGAGGGGTGGGGTGGGGTGTGGGAGGGGGGTGGGAGGAGGTGGGGGAAGGTCAATGTGTGGTAGTGAACCTTTGTGAATCCTTAACCAGGGTTGAATATAAACAAAAGATCCTATACTGAGTGGCCACCTTCCCCCTCCTCCTTCAGATGGTGTGTGTGTCTCCCAGCCGTAGGTAGGTCGCGTGTGAGCTTCTTAACCCTAATCTAGCGCGCGTGACCCCACACTGACAGCCCCCCCACAAACACACACATACACAAACCAATGCCTCAAACCCTACCTACGGATCACTCTCACATACATACATACATACATACATACATACATACATACATACATACATACATACGTACAAATATAACTTAACACACACACACACGTCAGAAAAATACGAAAAACAGAAAAACTCAAAATTCAGCAAATTTAAATCAACACCTAAAGTGACGGATAAACATGAAACAACAACAACAACCACCACCACAACAACAACAACCACCACCACCACAACAACAACAACAATTACATCATTATCACAACAACTACCACAACAACAACAATTACGTCATTATCCCCTCCCCCCCACAAAAAAAAGCTATCAAGAGAAGCATACCAGAGAACATTAACTCCCTTCCAGGTAACACGTAGGCGAAATAAATAGCCCAAATTACTAGCAAAAAATGTAGTTCCTATTATACTCTATCACAATGACTAATATCTCCATAACGAGGTGTATCTCAGCCTGTCTTGTAATATAGAGGAGGAGGAGGAGGAGGAGGAGAGGAGGAGGAGGAGGAGGAGGAGGAGGAGAAGAGGAAGAAAGAAGACGGGAGAAGAAAGGAAGAAGAAGAAGAAGAAGAAGAAGAAGAAGAAGAAGAAGAATAAGAAGAAGAAGAAAGGAAAGGAGGAAGGAAGGAAGAAGGAAGGAAGGAAGTGAAAGAAGGAAGAAGGAAGGAAGGAAGGAAGGAAGGAAGGAAGGAAGGAAGAAGGAAGGAAGGAAGGAAGGAAGAAGACAACTTGACAGAACTATGGGCCAAGGTGCCTTCCTCGACGAGCTCTATTAACAAACTTTTCTGCAACAGGTATTTCCTACTAATTGGCTGTACAGGTAATTAAAGAAAGAAAGAAAGAAAGAGAAATATAGAGACACAAGGAGAAGTAAAACGTATCAAAAGGTAGAAGAGAAAGAAGATAGAATAGTGGGAATGGATGATGAGGGAAGAGGGGAGAATAAGAGGTGGGGAGAAAAGAGGGGAGGGGAAGGGGAGGGGAGAGAAGAAGGTACAGGGAAAAAGGGGAAAGTTTGGAGGTGGGGAGGAGAGAGGATAGGAGGGGTAGGGAAGGAGTGGAGGGGTAAGGGAGAGAGAGAGAGAGAGAGAGAGAGAGAGAGAGAGAGAGAGAGAGAGAGAGAGAGAGAGAGAGAGAGAGAGAGAGGAGGACAGGAGGCTAGCGTGTTACACCCCCATAGGGACGATTGAAGCTGCTGTTTCTGGCCAGGTAGTGCGCTCACCTGCTTCCGACGAGGCTGGACATACCTGAGCAGACCACGATGATTATTGCTACTCGGGACGTGAAGACTAACCTAACCTATCTTTGACCTGACCTAACCTGGCTTGACCTAACCTGACTTGACCTAACCCAACCTAATGGAGAGAGAGAGAGAGAGAGAGAGAGAGAGAGAGAGAGAGAGAGAGAGAGAGAGAGAGAGAGAGAGAGAGAGAGAGAGAGGAGAGAGAGAGAGAGAGAAGACGGGGAAGGGCAAGTGGCGGGGATGGAGGAGGGGGAGGGGAGGGGCACTACCTGGGGTAAGACAAGCAGACAGGTGAGAGTCGGGAAAATGAGATTGGCAGATTACGTCTAAGCTCGGCGGTGATTGGCCAAGCTCCAGGTGGGCTCAGGTAATGCAGGTGGGTAAGAGGGGGGTAATGCGTCATGAGAGGTGAGAGGGGATGAGAGGGGTGAGGGGAAAGGGGCAGGTAAGAGAGAGAGAGAGAGAGAGAGAGAGAGAGAGAGAGAGAGAGAGAGAGAGAGAGACTCACCAGTACTAAAAAAAACATATAAATACTACATCCACCCATAAAAAACAAGTAAAAAAACACACACACACACACACACACACACACACAACACACACACACACACACACAGACGCAAAAAAAAAAAAAAATAAAAAGTATCTACCCACAATGACAAAAAAAAATTCCCCACAGCGAAGTATGGTTGTTAGCAGGCGACTGGGGCGGGGGGAGGGGGGATTCTAAAATAGGTATTAGCATAGGACATTTACCCCTGACTGGCAAGCGTGTTTTAGGTCCGGTCCCCATAAGAAAAAATCGAGTTAATGGATTTTGTGGGTGTAGGGGGTGTGGGGTAGGGGGTGTGGGAGGTAGGGGCGGTGTGTAAGGGGTGTGGGGTGTTGAAGGGGTATGGGGTGTAGGGGGGGGGAGGTAGGGGGGGAGTGTAGGGGTGTGGGGTGTAGGAGGGGTGTGGGAGGGGTGTGGGGGGGTGGTGTGTGGGAGGTGTGGAGGTGAGGTAGGGGGTGGGAGTGTAGGGGTGGGGCGGTGGGGGAGGGGTGTGTGGGGTGTGTAGGGGTGTGTGTGTTGGGGGTATGGGAGTAGGGGTGTGGGGAGGGGGGTGGGGTGGGGAGGTGGGGAGAGGGGTGAGGGTAGGGGTGGGGGTGTGATGTAGGGGTGTGGGGATGTAGGGTGTGTAGGTGTGTGTGGGTGTAAGGGGGTGGGATGGGGAGTGTGGGGTGTGTGTGGGGGTGTGGGGTAGTGGGGGTGGTGGGGTGTGGGGGGGGTGGGGTGGGAGTGGGGGGGTGTGGGGGTGTGGGGTGGGGAGGTGTGGGTGTGGGGTGGGGTAGGGGGTGGAGTGAGGGGGTGTAGGGGGGTGTGTAGGGGTGTGGGTGTGTAAGGGGAGGGGATAGGGGAGTGGGGTAGAGTGTAGGGGGAGAGGGTGTC